GTGTCCTTACCTAGGGACAAGGGAGTATGACCCTTCTCAAGAGAGAATTGAGTAATAAGGGCGGATGAGCATGACTGTCAACCTCGGTCTGGGACAGGGTCTTGAAGGTTTAGTCTGCTCGAGCAGCCTTCCCAGTGTATGGCTCATTGCCCACTAGGATGTGCTTGGTTGGGATTCGAAGAGACTCCTAAGGTAACTGAGAGTTATTGGTTTGGATTAGCATATAGGATGATAAGACATGTGGATTGGTGGCTGAAAGACCAAAACTATGTGGGTTTCCTTTATTGGGAACCTCGACAAAAGTATCGACGAAAGGTCTAGAAAGGGAAAGAAGGACCCCGGGTTAGAGAGCGATGGGGGCATTGTGGGCATGGTCTTCTCAAGTTCACGGTCCCACGGTGACCAGTCGCGATCATGGACCTTAGGAGTCTTCTCTCACTTTGACTGTCACACCTTCCTCGGGGACACGTCCAGGTTGCGTTTGGAAAAATATCACATCTGCCTAATTAATGTTGGGACGTATGTCTCATCGTTAATGACCATTGGTATTATTGCGGTCAAGGCAGTTATGGGTTAGCGCGAGTGGTAGGGGGTCGCGGCGGGCAGCCCGACCTGTCCAAACACTGTGCTATAAATACCTACATTACTTGTCCACTGCAGATGATGATTTCTGACTGGTGAGAGCATTTTTCACCTACCGTCTGCCCAACTGGTTCGTCACTTTGTTAACAGGCAACTCAAGTTTTTCCATCTCATCCACTTATCCTACTCACCCCCCTTCGATTATACTTGACATAGACCCGTGTGTCAACCTCTTTAACTCTCAACCTATAATGAACAATAAATAAGATAACTAATGGCAAAACAGTAAATATGAGCAAATACACGGATATATAGTGGTTCGATCTGAGTGATCTACTCCACTCTCGGGAGAAGGCAGCGGTGCTGGGAGGCTTTATTGATGAATAAATTAATCGAGAGAGAGCTCCATGAGAGTTACACTAGTTCGGAGAGATAAGCTATGTAAATAGGGAGGTGCAAAGAGGCAAAGTTCAATGTGTAAAGATATGTGTTGGAAGAGATAGATGTCTCTCCATGTGGAGAGAGCTTACAATATATAAGTTTGGTGAGGCGGTGAGGTGAGTGAGAGATCACTACTTCTTTGGTAAGTACAATTAAGGTAGGATTGGTCTTTATGAGTGCATATCCCGATAATTTTTCTTCCACGTGCTCTTATTTTTCTGGGCTCCTTGGATCTTGGACTGGGTCGGATTGATAAAGTGGGATTGGGCTATCTTTTAACTGACTTAGGCTTGGTGGATTTATTGGGCCTAACCTGGTTGGATTTGAGCTCATCAGATACAATGTAATATGAATGATTTTGAGAGAGATATTAGTGACTGTCAAATGAGTTTTAAATAAACTGGGCTTATTGAAAACTATCATGTTTTATATTACAAATTGTGTCTCAATAAAATCCTGACATAATTAATTCATCCCCATTTTTTTTTTGAAAAATAAAAAATTAATTACGATGTAGATCGGATTGTCCCCCAACAAATGTGAAATAACAATGTGGAATTGTATAACGATGTGGCATAAAATAGTAGCACTAATTACCACTTGATCTAACTAGCAAACAAAAAATTACCACTTGATTTTGCCACGACTCGCTCTCATATGAGATCGGGTGTTCGAGCTTCTTTGGAAGCATGAGAGTAGGGCTCTTCTAAATTTTGCCCATCCGACCCATTCTGCATCTTTTTCACATGACCTTACCCGATTATTGGAATTTCATAAAATTTCGGCCTGCTAATGAAAAAAATTTTAGTATTCTATAAAACCATGGGTAAGAATGCGAGAATACCCATAAAAATTATGCATTCTTATTCCTAATTTTTTTTAAATAATATATTTGGTATTAAACAACGTCATTTTATTTGCTCATATTATTGGATTTATTGTGTTAATTTATATGTTCTTATATTATATTTTAATAGTCTAATTGTAAAAGTAGCTCAAAAAATTTGGTAAATGAGTTGTTAAAATAACCCAAAAATTAATAACTTTTAGAAATTGAAAATATGTGAGATATTCTGCATTCTTATCCGATTTTTGAATTGATTTTTTTAAACAAAATTCGACTCGAAATATTACCCTCAATCGAGTATAATTGGCCAAAAAATTAATCTTCTGCAATTCATTGATACTGAAGATGAACACAATTTAATAACTTTGTATTTTTTGTATTAGTAGGTCGATTAACTTTCGAGTTACGGAATCTAACAATGAGTGTCTCATTCCAAATTAAGGAAGACAAATCTCCCACATTCTTCTATAATAAACATGAAAGCCCCACAACACCCTCTCATTTATTTTGAAAGGGATTTGACGAGGAGTTCATATCATACATTCCTTGGCTTTGGAAGAAGCCAAATTTATTGACCTCTTAGGTCCATATTCTATAGAAAAGGAGATTTAAATTTACTTTCCATTTTAAAACTTCAAACTCAATCCCAAAATCAAACGTATTTCATTTTCATAGTTCAGTTCCAAACTCGTTTAAGATAAAAAAAATTGATCCGAAATCTCACCCTAACCAGTAACTCATTTAAAATGAATTTTGCATATTATATGTATATTTCAACTCAATATCACAATATAATTACTTAATTATATCATATACCAATCTAAATAACTGATCACAATCGACTCAGATATTAATATCTCTAAGTCTGAATTTACGAAATATAATTAATATCTCTAACTGCGAATTAAAAACCAATGGAGGAGGACCATTGTTGCAGATCTCAAAGCCCAAAATCACTAAAATGAATGAGTAGGGGCCATAGGACATGATGAAAATATATCATCATGGGACCCTTGAGATTGATGGTCCAAATTGTCTCAAGCTACATGAACAATGAAAAGATAAGATGGGTTTTGTATTGTCTATACAATATACAAGGACAACGCTCTAAAATAAATGGTGCAACCACAGCTTTCAAAGACATTCTGCTCCACAGATTCAAGAAAATGCACATCTAATTTAAATATTCCCAGTAGCAATGTACGAAGCTCTCGCCTATAGTATTGTCTTGAGGGAAAAAAAAATTGGTGAGTAGCCTTAATTCTATTCTGAAAGATTTCACATGCTAAACGCTAGGTTCAAGGTGGACATAAATCATAAACTATTCCAAATAAAGTCCGAGCCACCCAATGATTTTAAGTCAACATGGCATAGCATGTGAGGCCTATATGGTAAAAAATCTCAAGTTCGATACAACTCATACTTTTTAAAGATCAGTCATTCTTGTTCTTTCGTGCACATATTTTTTAACTAACTTGAATTATGGTGGTCGATTTAGAACTTGAGATAATAGTTGACACAAACCCGAATACTCTATAGCAACAAAAAAAAATGACTAGACAAAAGGATTGTCTTAAAGAGTTGTGATGGCCCTTTGACAAAAGGCACATAAGTCTTACAAAATTCATATATTAAATTTCTCGTCCCAAATGATGTGTTGCATTTATGTCCATAGGTGAGTGCAACACATCATTTAGGATAAAAAAAATTAGTGTAAAAATTTGTTAATAGAAATATTACTCTCACTATAATTCCCTCCATCTCTCCTCCCATAAGATCAAAAATCCTCTACCCCGAAAGACAATCATCGTTGTAAATCTTAGTTTAAGCTATTCTTAACCATTGATCGACTGCAGTAATTAAGAAGTAAAACAATAAATAGTAAACATTTTCATAATAATAAGGAGGTATTCCATCGAAAAATTATTTTTTCTGTACTGCAGCGTGAGACGTGATTATATCTCTACATCACCATGGAAATCAAAGGGTACATCAATTGACAAGGAGTGTCTAGTGAAGGTACCCTGTCATATTAAGAAGTGGGGTGGAGTGGGAAGGATGAGGGTCCATGTGTGCTGGCTGCCTAGGAACAAACCCATTTGTAGACAAATATGCCTCCAAAGACTAACCACAGTAGCCATTAGTTGAAGGAAGAACAAAATACATCAAATCTCTACCAAGCAATCCCCACCCCACTTTATTATCCATGATCACAGGCAATAACACATGGTTTGCTGCTTAATTTATCCCTACCCACCTTCCTAATCAACATTATTTTAATGGGTATTCCTTTGTGCAAGCTCATGGTTTCAACTAATTAGTACTCTTTTACATTATAGAATAAAATACATTTTTAGTTCGTATAATATGTACTTTCTATTTATTATTTTGGTCTCTATTTTTCGCAATTGGATCATTTAGGCACAAATTAAATCGGGACACGCATATTATTTTGTGTGATGTATACATGGCATGTGTGACCCTTTCTATTAGGAATTTTGAGGATCATTTAAATTCGAATCAGAAATTTTTGGATGTAAAGGAATCGATAGACTTAAGGGTGTTAATCGACACGAGCTACTCAGACTCTGCTTAGATATTACTCGGTTCGAGTTCAACTCGTGTTTTAAATGAGTTGATTTTGAACAAATTTTTAGGCTTAATTAGAAAAGCGAGCCTAAAAGACTAGGTTCAACTTCGCAAAATTTGGTTTGGTTATATGTAAAATAGTTGAGTTATTCGGGCTTGGCTCAGGTTCGACCCGGACTCGGACTCGACTTATTTTCTAAACAATCAAATTTGAATAATTTTTTAGGTCTATTTCGAAAAACAAGCTCAGGTTTAAACTCACAAAACTCAACTCGATTAACACTCCTATCGAAGTTGAGGGATAAATTTACCTTTCATGTATACGTTAAAAATTAAAAGTGTGGGGTCATTTTCCAATGATCGATAGAACTATTTAGTCGTACATCAAAACTCTAGGGTCTAAAGTGAGATAATTAAAACAATAGAGATTAAAGTGTGACATAATGTATACTTTGAGGCTGATTAATATATTTTCCCCAACCTTATATATTGTACACTTCTTTAGCATCCTAACTAAACAAACTCGCCAAACAAGAGAGCAATGGAAACCCCTGAGAAGCAAAAGAAAGGAGTCAGGTATGTGTACAAGTTAGGGTCCGGAAGCCCAATGCTGGAATCTGACCCACTGACCACAATAAAGAAGGCTGCATCACGTAGTTGGGTACTCAGGAAATCGAAAACCTATCGGGAAACCGACCCCGGTGGCCGGAAAACGGTGGAGGATGGAGGACATAAGGTGATGGAGGCAAGAAAATCAGTGTGCAGTGAGGCCAGAAAATCAGTGTCACACGTGGAGATGAATGCGGCGTCGGTGGCTTCATTTCTTCAGGTGAAGGTTTTGGTTTCAGACATGCCGGCGTTCATGCAGGTCCATGCTTTCCGGTGTGCAAGGAGGACTTATGATAGTTTGGAGAAATTCAGTTCTAAGCACATGGCTTATAACATGAAGAAGGTAGTCAATTATTTTTGGTTATTACTTATTGAGTGCTATAAGAAATTTTCCATAATGACAAATGACATATAAATCTGATGTGTGTGTGTGTGTGTTTTCTAGTGTAGGTTTTTTGGATTTTGCTTTGAATGATTCTATTTTTGTCCATTGGGACCTTGAGGAAGGAGATGAACCATAGATAACTAGAAGATGAATTTTATTACAATCTCGATAATTAATATTATTCATAAATACGTGTATCTAATCTTTTTTAAACTAAGCAATGTTGAGATTCTTGTACATCGGGCTGATATACATATGTGTGTGCATGTGTCCATATATGTTTTAAGGTTGCTGGATAAATGTTTGTGATACAATGAGTTTCTTGCCATTTCTTCTTGGATTTTGTTTCTTGAATGATTGAAACTTTTTGAGATGGGAGTCCATAATCAAGATATGACACAATAAACCAGAAGACCTTTCAGCCTGGATTCTCTCTCTCTCTCTCTCTCTCTCTCTCTCTCTCTCTCCATGTTGCACACTTGTGCATGCTGGGCAGCCAATGCATGCCATCTGATAAACAGATCTCATTATATTTTTTTCTATATGGTCCTAAATAATTGCTTGTCCAATAAAGCAGTTAGGTTCATTGAAGTTGCAAAACTTGAACAAGCCATGTGTATACAACACCCAAAAACTTTTCCCTAATCATGTGCTATTAAACAATTTCTATTCCCCTTGTCAGCCCACGTGTACTACAAAAGCAGGAATACAATCAAATTACTATTTAATTTCATCCATAATTATGCACTAATTATCTCGAAATGAGTGTCATTAGGACATAAAAATTTACATAATATCGTGACATAATAATGTGTCTCATTTCTCATATCTCGTTCTTTAGGGTCCTATGACTTCAATTGCATCCACTTCTTAGATTTGTCTTTACGTTTCTCCTCTATTATAGATAGTTAATTTTAAATTGTAATAGACGATTATTTCTTGTAACGATAATCATTAAGATCATCTCAGCTGACTCATAATTATGTTAAAAAATTATTTCAGTTTATTAGATTCTTGTCGCATTATTCTATCAAAAAAATAATCATGTTTCTCTCTCTACCCATCTCTCTCTCTCTCTCTCTCATATATGTACACTTTTTTGAACAGGAATTTGATAAAGTGTATGGACCGGCCTGGCATTGTATTGTGGGCTCTAGCTTTGGATCATTTGTGACCCATTCAACAGGGTGCTTCCTCTATTTCTCAATGGAGAAGTTGTACATTTTAGTGTTCAAGACAAAAGTTCAAAGAGCTATGGAATGAATTTACCATTAAAAACATATAGATTTTTTAATTTGAATACTAAGCAAGTGTTGTCATAGTATCCTTTCAAGTTTTTGTTTTTGTTTTTGCATTTTGTATTTTGTTGTCAATTGAAAGATTATGTATTCTCAAGTTTGTAAATGACAAAATCAAAGAGTGGAATGAAGTGTTACAAGAATGTCTAGTTTGTGATATAGTAGATTAAGGCTTGGCATTTGGCCTGTACATGGCCCAAAATCCCGACTAGACGACATGGGCCGACCCACCTGTTGGTTGTAGTGTTCCAAATATAGTAAAATCACTTATTAAAATTTCTGAACTGTAGAACAGTAAGTGTGAACTGTAGAATAGTTGCTCAAAATGAAACAGTTACAGTAAAGAGTTACACAGAAACTTTTTTCTTAACTAATATAAAATTAACCCGGTTGCAGAATAGGAACTGTTATTGAACTTTGGGTAGATCAAGGCTAGTGTTTGACACTATATCCTTAAGACAGATTTCGCCCCCACACACAGTGCTTATGAAATACCAAGCGTCTGTTTCCCATAATACAATAATCTTTACACGAACAGAAGTAGCACTCCAATTGCTCGTCCGGCGAACCAATATTTTGTTGTGTACAGTCTAGATGCTTTAATGCCGAAATGCATGCTGTTTAATGCCTTAATGGACTGATTAATTGAATTAATAAAATGAATGCATCAACTGGGTATTTATAGATAGTCTGGTGACTGTTCAGACAGCCACCATACTAAAAGACACAACCCAGAAAAATAAAAAATCGACTAGCCAGTGGACACCTCGAACAACTGTTCTTCATGAACAGTCACAATTCAATTTCGGACTGAAAAACCGACCCAATGCGATCTAATGGGTACCAAATTTAAATTTTGGGTTAAGAAATTTTCGCCAATTAATTGAATGAATTTTATCCAAAAAGATAGGGCTTTGTCTAAACCACACCGGTGCCCGAGCCCGGCCGGGTCGTGGTGAGACGGGTGGGCGGCACGCGCGCATGCGTGTGGTTGAACTGAAGGCATGTAAGTGCTCTCCGCTCATAAAACTATGATACCCCTTGGGGCCCAATCCCATAGAGCAAACTTCGCCTATATATGTTCATGTTAAATTTATTCCTCAGCCAATGTGGGATTGATGTCACATTCCACATTGCACTTCCTTTATTTTCATGTTTCAAAAGGGTCACTTTGGAGCCTATTTTCTTATTCATTTCTTACTCGATTTGAGCAAATAAATATACTACATTATTCTCCTCACGGAATAAAATATGAACCATCGAAATTTTATTTGAAATAACAATTAGGTCCCACTTTAATTTAGGCTCAAAATCGACCAAAAACTCAATTTTTACACTCAAAAAACTGTTTTGGTCCAACAATCCCCCACATGAATGGAGCTTTGGCTGTTAGTATGCAAATGATAATGCTAACACACTATAGAAAATACATATTTTGAAAGATCGTGCATCGAGATAGGTAATTTTTGACCTTGAATCTTCCCTAGTGAAAATTCATCGGACTTACCGGCTAAATAGTGAACGTGATGTCTTGAACTATTCAGTTGTTTGATAAATCAGATTGAATAGACTTCACACAGTCTCTTCTCTAACACAATTGGTTTTCATGATTGTGTTCATTTTGGCCCTGAACAACTCATGATTTTCATGAGTGCTTTAGAGAATTCAGCTTTTACAAATTCTCATAGAAGCGACCCATTCAGACCCACATAGGTGACTCATATTAGGAATATCCTGCAATATCCCACTTGAATTTATCAAAGTATAAAAGTCATTAAAAGCATAGCTTACCCTAATAAACTCTGTAGGCAGCACTAGTTTATCATATAAATAGGTAGGAGATATTATCTCCTTCGTGCTTTTTTTAATCACGCATAATTCGGTTGTCCCTTTAAACCTAGATCTTAGGATCTTCAATCAACTAGGTTGGGTTGCCATTAAGGTGACTCTTGTATCATAGGCTTTAATCTTATTTCTCTCGATGTGCAATTTACTTGCTCTCTCATCAAACCTTTAGTAAGCGGGTTTGCTTATTTCTATTGATTATATAAAATCAAAGGATAATCTAGCGGATCCGCTTACAAAAGGTTTGACAAGAGAGTAAGTAAATTACACATCAAGGGGAATGAGATTAAAACCTATTACACAAGAGTTACCTTAATGGAAACCCAACCTAATTGACTGGAGATTCCAAGATCTAGGTTCAAAGGGATAACCGAATTATGCGTAATTCAAAAGAAGCACTAAGAAGATAATATATCCTACCTATTCCTATGATAATCTAGTGCTGCCTGTAGAGTTTATTAGGGTAAGCTATGCTGTTAATAACTTTAATACCTTGGTAAATTCAAGTGAGATATTGTAGGATATTCCTAATAGGAGTCACCTATATGGGTGTGAAGGGGCCGCTTCTATGAGAATTTGTAAAGCCTGAATTCTCTAAAGCACTCATGAAAATCAGGAGTTGTTCAGGGCCAAAATGAACACAATCATGAGAACCAATTGTGTTAGGAAAGAGACTGTGTGAAGTCTATTTGATCTGATTTATCAAACAGCTGAATAGTTTAAGACATCACGTTCACTATTTAGCCGGTAAGTTCGATGGGCTTTCACTAGGGAAGGCTCAAGGCCAAATGCTACCTATCTCGATGCACGATATTTTCAAAAATGTACTCTCTATAGTGTGTCAGCATTATCATTTACATACTAACAACCAATTTTTCATTCATGTGCGTGCTTGTTGGACCAAAATAATTTTTTGAGTGTAAAAATTGAGTTTTTGATTGATTTTGAGTCTAAATTAAAGTGGGACCCAATTTTTATTTTAAATAAAAGTTCGTGGGTTCATATTCTACTTCGTGAGAAGAATAATGTAGTATATTCACTTGCTCAAATCAAGTAAGAAATGAATGAGAAAATAAGCTTCAAAGTAACCCTCTTGAAACATGAGAAATAAAGGAAGTACAATGTGGGATGTGACACCAATCCCACATTGGTTGAGGAAGAAATTTAACATGGACATATATAGGTCAAGTTTGCTCTATGGGATTGGGCCCCAAGGGGTACTACAATTTTATGAGCAAAGCAAGCACTTACATGCTTTCGGTTCAATCGTACACTCGTGCGCTTGTCGCCCGCCCACCTCGCCATGACCCGACTCGGCTGAGCTCGGGCTCGGGTATGGGTGTGGTTTAGACCAAGTCCTATCTTTTTGGATGAATTCATTTAATTAATGGGCGAAAATTTTTTAACCTGAAATTAATGCGGTACCCACTAGATCAGTTTGAATTCAGTCCGAAATTGAATTATGACTGTTCATGAAGAATAGTTATTAAAGGTCACCAGACTATCTATAAACACCCAGTTCATGCATTTATTTTATTGATTCAATTAATCAGTCCATTAAGGCATTAAACAGTCTGTATTTTGGCATTAAGGCAGTGCATCTAGAGAGTACATAACACAATATTGGTTCACTGGACGAGCAATTGGAGTGTTATTTCTGTTCGTGTAAAGATCATTGTATCCTGGGAGGTAGACGCTCGGTATTCCATAAGCACCGTGTGGGGGGCGAAATCTGTCTTTGGCACATAGTGTCAAACACTAGCTTTGATTTACCCAAAGTACAATAACAGTTCTTATTCTGCAACCGGGTTAGTTTTATATTAGTTAGGAAAAAAGTTTCTATGTAATTCTTTATTGTAATTGTTTCGTTTTGAGTAACTATTCTACAGTTCACATTTACTGTTTTACATTTAGAAATTTCAATAAGTGATTTTACTATATTTGGAACACCACAACCAACAACCTTGATTGGGCTTGATCAAAATTTCGTTTCGATCACTTAGGAAATAGAATGAAAAAAAAAAAATTAAAATTATTTTTTAAAATATTGGTCGAATTATACTAAAGTATATTTAAATATCTTGAAATATTCTGAAATAATTATGCTAATGCTTTGAAACATTACAAAACACTTCAAAATATTATGACACATCTCGAAATATTAGAATTTCGATTTTATCACTGATTCGTTTTGATCTCCTTAAAAACAGAATTGTGTTGGATGTTTCGAAAACAAAATTTTGATGCTTGATAGAGGTGCTAAAATTCATATACAAATAAAAAAGATTATGTATTCTTTAAGTTTGAAAATGACAAAATCAAAGGGTGGGAATGAAGTGTTACTAGAATTTCTAGGGTAGATTAAGCCTCAGCATTCGGCCCGTAGATGCCAACGGACCAGAGGACATGGGCCGAGCCAATCTTGACCGATGGATAGAACGCTGAAATTCATAAAAAATAAAATGGATCAAATTTGGAAAAATAAAAAAGAAAAAATGGAAATTGGTACACTTAAAATGACTTATTAGGGTAAAAGTCTCTACCTCGGAAAAAGTCTACTTTGAAGCAAAAAGTCTGGACTATTCTCGAAACACTGTTACTATTATGACAACAAATTGAGAAACCCAAATATAAACTCTCTCATTTAACGTCATCAGTTACCACGGTCTTTAAAACATGGACGATGGAAAGAAACTTCAACCGACGACCTCCATTGATTTTGTCTGTTTGAAATCCGGGAAAAAAATCCCATATATTTCATTAATCCATATTATCGGATTTTCTACCATTCACTCTCAAAATCGATTTCATCGAGTTGGGATTTCTACATAGAGACAGATTTTTTGGTTAATAAAAGGGGTTCAAGATAGAGGTTCAAGCGAAGTCTCCTCATCCGATTCTCTTCCCACTCAAGTGTGCCTATTGTTATTGCAAGATCAACAACAGATTAAAGCTTTGAGGGGAAAAAAACTTTGTCCAGTTTCTTTTGGCATTAATCATTCCTTTTTAGATTTAGTTACCAAATAAAATTTCCATCTAATGGACTTTTTATTGTTTTCCATTATCAACATTGACCCATCTTTAATTAGATTGCATTTTAGGGGTAAGGTATCATATTCC